TTTAGGGTTTAGGGTGTAACCCCAAGAAGACACGCCAGCATTCAAAACTTCCCGCAAGAAGATCTTAACATACACTCATCAAGCTTCACCAAACTCTTGATCTAAAGCCCGCAAGTGCTTCCGAGGGCCCCCAAAACCCTCAACTCTGAACCCCTAAACCCTATAAACCTCTAGACCCTAAGCCCCAACATTGCTGACTCGAGCCACGGAAAGTGGAGGTGGCTGTGCTGTTGGCAGCATTGTTCAGGAAGACCTTCAGCAATTTGTCAAAGGTTCTTGAACCTTTAGTAGCTAACTAAACTCCAAAAGCCCTAAAACCCACTTATATAATAAACGGGCCTTGATAGTTAAAGTGGGGGCAATCATATAGAACAGATGTATTACGGAACCCTGAGCAACAAGATTGATATGTTTAGCTCCTTCTACAGTAAAGTCTGACAACAACTTAGACGTTTGAATACCAAGCCCAAAACCCGAACCTCAAAATCGCAAACCTATACCCTAACCCTCCCGGTACCTACTATATAGGGCCCTAGGGGCTCTAGTACCCTTATAGCAGGTACCTGGGGGGTTAGGGATAGGGTTTCTGAGCAGGCCCTAAGCTGGTCGTACAACAAAAAGGCCACTTTTCGGGATTCGAGGTCGTGCCTCATTCAGGATCCCTAGTAGACGGTTGAGGGTTTAGGGGTTTAGGGCTTTGGGGGTTTTGGGGGTTAGGGGTTTAGGGCTTAAGGGTTTTAGGGCTTTAGGGGTTCAGGGTTTAGGGCTGGACGGTTGCAGTCTCCAGGAACCATGTCACCTCAAAACCACGGGACCAAACCTAACCTTCGAACACATGCTGGCCTCCAGCACTTCTCCGTTTGCAAGGCAGACTCACGATGAAAGCCCAAAGCCCCGTCAGGTCGCAGCTATCGAACATATGGGAAATAGACACTAAGACGGATACCGCAAACCATCATCATCATCATCGTCATCATCCTCATCATCATCATCATCATCATCATATATATATATATAAACCAATTGTATTGCCATTAACTCACGTTATCGTCCAGCCTGCCCCTCCTCCTCTTTATCATCATCATCATGACCACTATCAAAAACATACTCTTTTTCGTCATGAACATCGTCAGTATCGTGGTCATCATCATCATCGCCGACGTGTACGTCGTCATCATCACCCTCATGACCATCACCAGCGCAGTAGCCCCTCCACAATCATCATCCTTGTAATCAGCCCCTCCATGTGACCCTACGGGGCAACAGAACTCTGGACAAAACCCGTTGTCAAAAAACTTCTCATCACCTTAACGATTCACAAAAACCTGAAGAACAGCGTAAAACCTTATCAAAAGAAACTAATTATACGAATACCAAACCCGAAGAACTCCTTCAATGGTTCCTTTAAAGTGACCCGCCCCCCTAAAGCCCTAAAACCCTAGAACCCTAAACCCTAAAACCCTAAAGCCCTAAATCCCCTAAACCCCTAAATCCCTAAAACAAAGGACTTCTGGGGCCCGACCCAGGCTTCATGCTTGCCAGCATGGCTGGCGCGGGTGAAGATCAGCGACTCAGAGGAGAAGGACTTGACCTCCAGTTCAGGGTTTCGGGTTTATAGGGTTTACAGGTTTCATAGGGTTCATAGGGTTTATAATATGGCTTATAGGGCTTATTGGGTTGAGGGTTTGGGGTTGAGGGTTTAGGATTTGGGGTTAAGTTACTAAGGGTTTGTTTAGGAGTTCAAGGTTTAGGCGCTCAAGGTTCTATTTCAATGTCTCGTGCGTGGGAAGCCGAGACCCTGAACACTACAGTGAACTCCGAGACATCTACAACCCTAAACCCTAGATCCTAAATCTTCAACCCTATAAGCCCTATAAACCCTGTGAGCCCTACCCTAAACCCTAAAGTTTAGAGTTTGGGATGTCGGGTTTAGCGGCCAGCAGCCCTAAACCCTGTAAAGTCCGATCAGACCCTGTAGAATGCTAAATCAATCACTAAATGGCCGAATACACAAGCCCTGATAGCCTAAAAACTTAGAGTAGGTTTTTGAGTCATAATACAGAAGCCTTGATAGCCCAATTAGAGTGGGCGTTTGAGGTATATTGCAGGCGTGGTGAACAAGACAGCATGCGCAAGTTGAGGCAGCACCCTCCCGAGACAGCATGCGAAATGCCATCGTGGTTTGTGGCTTCGGACTAGCCGAAAACGGTTTGAGGCTTTTAGTTGGAAGTCTTAAACCCTCAACCCTGAACTCTAAACCCTAAACCCCAAACTCAAAACACTAAACCATAGACCCCCAACTCAAAACCCTAAACCCTAGACTCCAAACTCAAAACCTAGACCCCAAAGTCAAAACCCTAAACCCTTAACGGAAAGCCCTAAGTCGGAAGCTCCCGAGATCCATGCAAGGGGCCTCACTGGAACCTGCGCCGATCTTGTAGTCCCTCCGCACGCGGTTAAGGGCGGCGATGAAGAGGTACCTGTGATTAGGGTTTAGGGTTTGGAGTTTAGGGTTTAGGGTTTGGGGTCTCTTGGATTTACGGTTTTAAGGCATGGGGTGTAGAGAACTTCGTTGGGTTAATTATGGGATTTGAGATCGTTGATAGGCTTGAGGGCTTGCGGGGGGGGGTTGATTTGTGTTCTTACTTCCCCAATAAGACAAGGCAATTACAAGGTTAAACTTTCAGATTGCCACCAAGTTATAGGAACCCCAAAAGTTTAAAGGCTGGGTATTGGGGAACTCAGTGTTGAACTGTTGGTCTCTGGGATGTCAGCGGTTCGAGTCTTAGGGTCTGTCTATGGTTTTGAGGGGGCTTTCGGTTCCAAACTCCTGAAACCTGAACCCTAAACCCTAATGCACCACGAAACCCCAAAAACCGCGAAAGCTTCGGTTCAAGTCAATTCGCTTATGGGGCCCTCAACCCTAGTTTGGGGTTTAGGGTTTAGGGTTAACTATATATGAACTTAAAATCGCGCTGAACCCGAAGCCAGAATGAACAGAATAAGCCCTAAACCCTTGTGGGTAGTAGAGGCTTAATATAGGGGTCTAGATAATCACCAATACTCTTTGTGGGGTTCCTTGTGACAAGTATAGTGGAATATACCCCAAAACCAAAACCTATTCTAATTATTAAGGCTCCGGCTAAGGCTCCTCCTACATTACCAGGGCTGTGTGGCACGTCGGACCTTCAGGTGCAAGCAGAGTTACGGGCCCGGGACTGTCAAAGTACCATAGGGGGCTTAGTGAGCGATTCGAACAGGGTCCCTTTAAAGGAATCCGTCTAACAAAACATCCTATAAATCCTGCTTCTGCTTTCAGACTGAGTAGGTATGTGCACACCCGAAGACTCCGAACGGCCCAAAGTAGGCACTATACATAGACATTAGTGGACCCCAAGCAAGTACCCTAAAGTAAACCCTAAACTCTAAACTAAACCCTAACCCTTAAACCCCACGTAAGTATCCTAAAGCAAACCCTAAACCCTAAACACCCAATTAAGTTCCCTAAAGTAAACCCCAAACCCTAAACCCCCCTAAACCCTAAACCCTAAACCCAAACCCTGAAGACTCCCTGTGTCCTGAAAGCTCAAAAACAGAGGGGCCACTGTCTTTGATAAGGGTCTAGGGTTTCGGGGTTTAGGGAGTTAGGCTTTAGGGTTTGGGGTTTAGAAAGTTTTGTTTTCAAGTTTAGGAAGTTTAGTTTTTTGGGTTTGTTGTTTAGGAAGTTTGGGGTTTAGGGTTGGGGGTTTGGGAGTATATCTTAGAGTAACAGGGGTTCAATATTCATGATTTTAAACAGAACGCCTTAATCAATTTGGGTTCTATTGCAACCCTGACTACCTATAATGCGAAAAGGCTGATTCCTAGACACTCCATCCGACTGCAGCCCATGGCATGACAACACAGTTGCGCCGACGAGAATCGGAGCTTGAGTCTTGGCCGGAATTCTAGGGGTTTCAACGGAAGCAGTGTACCGTATCATGTGGTAGTCAACTACGCACTCATTTATGGTTCGCAGTCCTACAAACATTTACCAAAGCGCTAGACAACTGGCTACTTACTCTCCTGATCCCCCTCAAAACCCTGACCCCCTAAAACCCAAGTCGGCAAACCCTAAACCCTAAACCTTTAACCCTAAACCCTAAATAAACCCTAAACCCTAAACCCGAAACTCGAGAAACCCCAAACCCGAAACCCGAAAACCCTCAACCCTAAAACCCTAAACCCCTAAACCCTAAACCCCCAAACCCCAAATCCAAACCCTAAAACCCTAAAACCCTAAACCCCTAAAACCCTAAACCCTCATGGAGCCGTGGGGCTGCCACGTGTCGGTGCGAAAGCGGCTCTGCCACAAGGACTCCCGGAGCCCATCTTGCCCTGGTGGAATTGTAGGGTTTAGGGTTTAAAAAGTCTGCGCATGTGTTCGGCAGTATTGTGTCCAGGGTGTCATAAATCTATGAACCCTCAACCCTAAGAAGCCAGGGTTTCATAAATCTAGACCCTAAACATCCCTAAACCCTTAGAAGCCTAAACCCTAAGCCGGTTTAGGGTTTAGGGCCATTCGGATGTGCCGCCTTGAGAGCGCTACAAGGCAATACATAATTCGAGAATGAAGAGAGTACGTAGTAGCCTCCTTATAGAGCGCACATATGAGCATGCTCTGTGATCCCTGAACCCTAGACCCTAAACCCTACCTGGAGGGTCAGGGGACTTAGTAAGTAGATATCAAGTAGAGTTATATGTACCCTAAAAGGGATCCTAATTGGGGTTATGATACTTATAAGTTCATAAGTCTATAACATAACTAGTTACTAAACCCTTAAACTCTAAGGGGTTTAGGGCTCAAGGTTGTTCAAGGTTTAGGGTTAAATTATAGGGTTTAGGCAAAATATAGGGCTTAGGGTTAATTTATAGGGTTTAGGGGTTAAATTATAGGTTTAGAACTAAGGCCAGGGCTGAACTATAGCAGCTAGAGTTCAAGATTATGTAGGGTGTAGTGTCTAGGGCAGTCTAGGGCCCAGATGCTTTCTGTCGTTCTTGACCGAGTCACCCGGGTTTCCTGGCCCGTGCCACTGGTGCCCCGACAAGCCCTGCTCAGTTCCTCGGCAACAGGCTTTTCATTGAGATTACGTTTGCTTGGATCTCATGCCATGGGGTTTTGGGGTGTAGGGTCGGTATAAGGTCTGGGGTTTGGGGTTTAGGGTAGTTTAGGCTTTGAGGGCCACTTGGGGAATGTCTACCACTACTACCCCTGCTTCGTGCTCCAAAACTCGAGAGTTATTATAACCTTCCTCTGAGTCGAACGCCTAAGACCTGATTAGACTCACCGCGCTTGTCGCCGAGGTTCCGTAGTAGACGATCGGAATGCCTTGTGCCAGCATCAGCCATGTCAGGGCATTTTTGATACGTCCGGTGTCCGACTGGCAGTAGTGCGCGATTCGACCGTACCTAGATCCGTGGAACCGCGTCAGGTGAGATTTCTGCAGGGTTTTGTTTGGGATCAGGGTTTAGGATTGTAGATCCACTACATGGTCCAAGCTCCTGGGGCCAAGGGTTTTTGGGGCTGTTCTGAACTCCGTTTCCCCTGAATGCGAGTTCGCTACACCGCATTCTGCGGCCCAACTTTTATCAAGGAAGCTTGTGGCTGGCATATACTGTAGCAGCTTTGAAAATACCAATGGGCCATATAGTATAACTATGATATAACAAAACATGCTCAGGAATAGTGTGCAAATCATTCAGGCTTCTGTAGCACATAATTGTGTTCCTATTCAATGCTTTGCTGCTCTATTATCGGTAGATTGTACAAGCATTTGACTCGCTGCATTACTTATGTACCTGTGTTACATAAATAAATATCTTGGAAAGCTGTCGTGGGGCACTGAGCCTTAAGCCCTGCACCCGAAACCATGGCCCTGAAACCCTAAACCCCTAAAGCCCCTAAACCCCTAAACTTGGGGGTTCCGGGCACCCTAAACCCTAAACCCGTAAAGCTGTACACCCTGAACCCAGAGACTCCAATATCCCTTAATTAAGGGAACATAGCCTAAATCCTATTAGGGCTCCTAGTATAATTTTAAGGTATATTCCGTAATTAAGGGATCTTGGAGTCTCTGGGAACCCCAATATGTCGGCACATCGGAGCCTTAGAGAAGCCGTTAAAGGAACCCTTACAGGAAGTTTTAGAAGGAGCCTAAACCTCTAAACCCTAACCCTTAAAGGAATCCTGTAGGGTCTCCTTATAATTGTTGAGGGTACCTTCAGGGGCCCCTTCAAACTTAGTCTCTGAGATCATAAGCCCCAAAAAAGTGTACACTTTCAGTTCTACAGGGGATTATATCCCTAAACCTGAAAGCCCTAAACCCTAAACCTGAAAGCCCTGCAGCCATTCAGCTACTAAGTAAATGAAGCCTTCGACTGTCACTGTAGAGGCTCCTTCCATGGCTCCCTTGACGCTGAACCCGTCCGGGCTCGAAGAGGACTGTAGGATTCTCAGAGTTCAAGAAGACAAATGCGCCTAACATAGGGTTTAGGGTTTAGGGTCTAGTGTGTTACCGCTTAGGGTTTAGGTTTAGGGGATTAGGGTATATGATGCCATACTATGCTTCTTCTTAAGCTTGTGGTTATTATTGTTGTTGCTATTGATACTGCTGCTATTATTTAATATTCATATTACGTGCAACTAACATCCTAAAACATGATAGCAAGAAGGAGAACATATCAAACCAACAATGGACTAGGGCTTGGGGTATATAGTAATGTATACTCCATCATAACCAGGAACCTTAGGGAACAATGTTGGCAAATGCTCAGGCTTCTAACATCTTCTAGTTTAGATGCCTGCTGCCAACAAGAAGAACATATTAAACAGTAAACTAGGGATTGGGCGAAATAGTATTCAAATCAAAACTATGAACCGTAGGGAACAATGTTGGTACAAGCCCAGGCTTCGGATTCAAATGCCTGCTGCCTGAATCCTCACAGAGCCGACTCCACACGCTCAGTGCGAGTGGAACCTCGAACGTTGAACGCCCAATCCTACTGTCCCAATCCCCAACCCAGAGAATGCACCATCCCCCCGACACCCGAAAAAAACAAAAAAAAACAACCCTAGAACCTAAACCTAAAATCCCTCACCCTTAACCTCAACCCTCGTACTTAAACTCCCGACCGCCACCCGGCGACACCATAATTTTCAACGGTTTAGGGTTTAGGACTCTGGTTCAGAATTTAGGCGCTCGTCGTGGTTGTCAACGAAGTTCCCGAGCAAATCCTGTTGTTGGGTTCATGGTTTAGGGTTTATTTAGGGCTCCGATAGCGTTTGGGGCTTTAGGGCTTTAAGCCACAAGGTCCGGAGGCTTTCAAGAGTAGTGCTGGTGTTCGCGATAGCTTTCTTTTGTTTGAAGGGTTTCATAATAAGGGCTTAGAGTCTTAGTGGTTTTCCGAGGGTTTTTACAGATTGGGATTCTTGGTGTTTCAGGCTTCAGGGTCTAGGTCCACTTTGTTGGTTCTGGCTTGTTTTCGTGCTTTCGAGTCTCCAGGTTGTTTGGGTCGATGGTATAGTTGACGGTGCAGGCTGTCATTGAGCTTAAGGCTATATAGGGTCATTAAGGCATTAGGGCTTATGGTTTAGAGGCCCTAAAAACCCTAAACCCTACACCCTGAACCCTAAACCCTAAAAACCCTACACCCTAAACCCTAAAAACCCCTAAACCCTGAACCCTGAACCCCAAAAACCCTACACCCTAAACCCTAAACCCTAAAAACCCCTAAACCCTGAACCCTGAACCCTAAAACCTAAACCCTAAAAACCCTAAACCCTAAACCCCAAACGGAGACCCGGCCTCGTGTGACAAACTACAAGACGAAGCCGGAGCTTCGTCGTAAAATCCATCCAGAGGAATGACGAGGTTTAGGGTTTAGGGTTTAGGAGTTTGGAGTTTAGGGTTTAGGGGTTTAGGGTTTAGAGTTTAGAGTTTAGGGTTTACCCTAACCCCCCAGGTACCTACTACATAGGGTACTAGAGTCCCTAGGGCCCTATATAGTAGGTCCCTGGAGGTTTGGGGTTTAGGGTTTAGGAGATTAGGGTTCATGGCCCCTTCACGTTCGATTGTGACACGATGTCTCAATATCTGCATCGTTAAGAAACCACCAGACGATGCGGCAGGGCCGGGGAAGTCGATGGCTCTCTGCACCCAGTTCACAAATCAAACCATCGTCAAAACCTGCATATTTCACCATCCAAAGCCCTGCCTATCTTCCCCCCGAAGCCTAAACCCCAAAACCCTAAACCCACCCTAAACCCTAAACCCTAAACCCACCTCAAGACCCTAAACCCTAAACCTCAACCCTACCTAAGCCCGGAATGGGTTTGTTGCGTATGCTGGAGAGGTGCCAAGGACTCGTAGCGATCGGAGTCAAGCTGAGCCTTCATCACCTGAGTTAGGGTTTAGGGTTTAGGGTGTCGTGGTGCTTGGTGTTAGGGCTTGAGGGGTTTTTAAGTCAGTTTAGGCATTTGGGGTTTCATACTACTGCTTAGGGTTTAGGGTTTAGGGTGCTTGGGGTTAGGCTTGAGGGGCTTTTAAATCACTTTAGTCATCTGGATATTTCATACTACGGCATAGGGTTTAGGGTTTAGTAAGGGGGCTTGGGGTTAGGGAATTAGGGGCTTAAGCCAATTTAGGGCTTAGGGCTTATGGGTTACCCTTATAGTTATGGCCCTTCGTAAAATGAGCGCTTAAAGGAACCCTAGTCATGGTTCGTGTTTCTTTACCCTAAGGCTCAAGATAGCCCAGAAGCCTTATATAGTATGGTCTTTGGGCCCAAAAGCCTTAAAATATGAGTCCTTAGAGCCTTAGGGTTACAGCTTCACAGCTTCACTGATGACTCGACGCTAGGGCGCGGGGTTGCGCAACTGTGGGGCCGCGGCTCCGCAGCGAATGATCAGAGGGTTTAGGGTTTAGGGTTTAGGGTTTAAGGTTTAGGGTTTAAGGTTTAGGGTTTAGGGTTTAGGGTTTAGGGGAATGTCGTCTGCACGGTGCGACGCAAGGGGATGGGACTTAAAAAACCAACAGCCAGAGTTTCTGGATCTCAGAGCGAGACCCAGACTGTAACATTGGACTACCCAGAGAGCCCAATACCCCTTCATTAAGAAATTTGCCTTAAATCATAATCTTAAGCCCCTGGTTCTGTTCCTTAATTAAGGGGTATTGGGCTCTCTGGGTACGTTTTGGGGGTCACCTTCTCTTCTTAGTGCAGGATCCCAGAAAGGATGCCCTGGCCAACGAAAGCACCGCAAGATGGCAATGACGGTTTCATGGTTGGGCCATGTAATGTAGGGAGCTTGATAAATAGATCAGCGTTTTGGGCTCCTTTATAGTAGAATTACAATAATGAACCTTAAGAATAAGATAGGCAATTATTTAGGCTTCTATATTATGCTCTGGCCACTTGCCAATGGAAGCATTGTAGGGTGACATGGACGTGGTTAGGGTTGCGTCATGAACGCTGTGGCCAACGGGTGCATTCCTGAAGGACGAAAAGAACCCTGGAAGGGTCTAAGGTTCATATACCATTTAGGGATTCATAGTATAAGTCAATAAGGGTATAGGGCCAATATTTTCAAGGGTCATTTGGTCCTGGAGGCTAGGGGCAGTGGTACGGCTATGGATACTCCGGCCAGCGGATGCGTTGAGAGCAAGCACCACCTGTCCACACGCCGGATATTCCCCCTAGAACCTAGAACCTCTTCACACCCTAAACCCTGATGCTTTCAGGTTAAAGCCTATAACCCTAACCCCCCAGGTATCTACTAATTATATAGGGTCCTAGAGCCCCTAGGCCCTAGGCCCTACATAGTAGGTCCCTGGAGGGTTAGGGCAAACCTCATAAATCCCAAACCCCCAACCTGAACCCAAAACTCTGCACTTACAATGCCAACTTTAAAACTCCGACAATGTGGGCAATGGTCCAGTCCTGAAGACGTGATGATGACGGTGATGATTCTGAGGGTGATGATGCTGAGCACGCTGTTGATGATGCTGCTGCCGATGTTGATGGTGCTGCATGTAAAGTTAAGGGTGATTCCAAAAAACAACCACGTCGCAGGGACAGTGTCTAAGTTCCTGCTACACGATGTTCTACGGCCATTACTATCTCTCCTCCAGTAGAACCTAGACCCTAAACCCCAAACCCGACATAAAATTCCTAAGCCCTGAATACCAACTTTATGCTCTGAGCCCCAAGCCCTAAAATCCTAAACCCCAAGAAAAACCTGGCCCCCAAAGCCGGGGCACCTGGGCCAATCCTGTCATGTCGGCTTTGCTTTTCCAACTTCCCTGGACCGGGTGTTGATTGGAGTTCTGGCTCAGGGATTAGGGTTTAGGATGTTCAGGGTCCAATTTTTAGAGTTGAGGGTGGGTGTAGGATGTGAAGATTTCCGAGATTGGGGGTCCCCTGCTGGCGTCTTCGCAGTAGAAGGGACCCTTGATTTTCTCCCTCTCCCTGGTTGCTTGGCGAAGTTCAGGTATCCCAGGTTGTATGTGAGCATTGCATAAGAACTACATGTCACGACTATTTCTCGGCACATAGCTTGTACCCGGCAGAAGCTAGCGAAGGGTATAGAGCCGCTCCTGCCACAACAAACTGCAGGTGTCATCTATCCTGCTGCGGGGTGTAGGTTTTCGAGGCGGGTGTGGTCTTTAGGGCCTAACCCTAAACCCTGAACCCTAAGCCTTAAACCCTAAACCCTCAACCTTGAACCCTAAACCCTAAACCCTGGAACTTTAGGGGATTTCGGGCAGTTGAGGGGTTGAGGATTACCGGCTGTCACACTCCGGAGTTTCGGTGCAGGGTCACCCAGGACGTCAGGTTGAGAGCTTAGGGCTGAGGGTCTAGGCTTCCGGGTTTAGGGTTTAGGGTTTAGGGTTTAGGCTTTAGGGCTTTAGGGTTTAGGCCTTAGGGTTTAGGGTTTAGGGTTTAGCCGGGTTTAGGCCGAAATCCTAAACCCTAAAGTGGTCTCATCATAGAGAACCTCAGAGCCCGAGGCAATTCAACTACAGCAGAAGCCCAGAAGTTGGAAACCCAATAGCCTCCATCCTTAAGAGCAACGTCATAGGGAATCCGATCGCACGAACTGTCCTTAATCCGGTTTCCAACTTCTTGGGGTTACTATAGCCGGGCCAGGCCTGCGTGCTGTAGTTTGCAAACTCGGATTCAAGAATGTAGCCACAAAAGGCAGACGGCACCTGGCGCCAACTGCAGGGGTACAGAGCTAATGCCCTAAACCCTGAAACCCGTTAAACCCTATAAACCCTATACCCCTAACCTTAAACCCTAAACCCTAAAAAACCTAAACTCTAAACCCCAACCTTAAACCCTCAACTCTAAACCCTAAACCTTAAACCCTAAACTCTAAACCCCAAACCTCAAGCCCTAAACCCCGAACCCTAAACCGCCCCAACATACCCTAAAACCCTCAACCTCTGGAGCCCCAGAGATAGATGAAGGATTTGCAGGCTAAGGTAAGGGTTCTGTAGGGTTCTGGAAGGTTCTGTAGGGTTCTGTAGGGCTTATAGGTCTTATAGGGTTTATAGGCTTTATAGGGTTTATGGGGTTTATAGGGTTTATAGGGTTTATAGGGCTTAGGGTTTAGAGGGTTTAGGGTTTAGTTGAAAGTTGGCATGCAGGCTGGCGTAAATCCAGATTGGGCTCTAAGGCCTTTCGTGCAGAATTGAATGGATGGTTCTGTGACTGACTCAAAAAAGGCACGAGGTCAAGTACCTAGGCCCTAAGCTCCTGAACTCTAAACCTGACATCCACGAAGCAAGTTTAAATCGTTTGACAGATCCACTCTGGCTATGCCGCATAGGGCTTAGGGTTCAAGGGCTTAAACCCAAAGCCCAAAACCGCCATCGTTGGCATCCTGTTGGTTTGGCTTCTTTGAGTTTCCGTGTGCCCAAACAATGCGGCCTCCCGGAGCACTCGACAGGGCAGGGGCTTCAATACCAAGTAGATTTGCTCTTCAACGACCACCATTTCTGCTTGATTGTAGTCCCTAAACCCTCAACCCCTAAAACCCTAAACCCCAAACCCCATAAACCCCAAACCACATGTCCGAAGCACGCTTCGAGCAAGCATGCTCAAGGCACCAAGCCTCATGTAATGTAGGAGCCTTAATCACTAGAATAGGGTATTGGGCTCCTTTTATCGTATAGTTGTAATAAGGAACCCTAAGGAATATATTGGTAAGTATTTAGATTTAGGCTTCTATATTTCTAACTTAACGGGGAGATTCAGATGGACACAACAGGAAAGCACCCTAAACCTGTGATGCCGAGGCCTTTCTGATTAGAATACCTTGAGGACTACATGAAACCTGAAGGGGTTTAGGGTTTAGGGGTAGTCACATAGTGATTCGTTGCATAAGGACACCGACTTTTACGGCTCATTTGGTCACCAAGGTATACAGTACTATGCTCTACTTTGAAGAGGGGTTATAGTTATAGTAAGGGGATCGTATTTCGAGTTTATACCGACCCCTTCCTAAACCCTAAACCCTAAACCCCAAACCCTAAACCCTTAAACCCCAAACCCTAAACCCCTAAACTCCTAAACTCCTAAGCCTAAACTCCTAAGCCCTATAAACATCCCCAGATCCCAGAGATCCGTGGCTTTCTAGGATCCCCCCCAAACTACCCTTTAAAGAGCTCTCATATTTAGGGTTTAGGGGTTTGGGGTTTAGGGGTTTGGGGCTTTAGGGTTTGGGGGTTTAGGGATTTAAGGGTTTGGGGGTTTAGGGGATTAGGGATTGGGGTTTAGGGGTTTAAGGGTTTGGGGGTTTAGGGGATTAGGGGCTGTGGGGGTTTAGGGTCCTAGGTCCTAATTCCTCATTTAGGGGTACATCCGGGCTACATGTAATGCAGGGGCCTTAATAATTAGAATAGGGGTTTTGGGGGTTCCTTATTATAATTATAGCCAAACCCCAGTCCAATTATTAAGGCCCCTATAGTAGGTTCGCAGCCCCCTGAGCAGCCCTGGACCCCGAGCCCAAAACCCCTAAAACCCCGAAGTTCCCTAGGCCCTAAGCCCTAAGCCCTAAACCCTAAACCCTGAGCCCTAAGCCCTAAACCCTAAGCCCTAAAAACCCTAAACCCTAAACCGGCCTGATAAAAGGGTGGGAAGTTCAAAAGTCCCGTCAGGACCCGCTCGCCCTTGGCGTTGCGCATCAGATTCGCCTGGCAGCGATATGTTCGGCTTCGGGGTTCAATGCTACCCAGAGAGCCCAATACCCCTTATTTAAGGAATATATACCTTAAACCATAATATCAAGCCCCTTATAATTTAAGGTATATTCCCTAATTAAGGGGTATTGGGCTCTCTGGGTATAGCGTTTAGGGCTTCAGGGTTTAGGGTGAAACCCGAAACCCTGAACCCTAAGTCCTAAACCCCAAACCCTAAACCCTGAACCCTAAGTCCTAAACCCTAAACTCTAAACCGGACCCCAAACGCAAAACCCTAAACCCTAAAACCCTCACCGGCCCTAATCCCTGCACTCCAAAACCACCCTGGCAGTTCCCTGCGCCCGACATTCCAAGGCCCTGGGAACCCGAAGCCCTCAAAGTGAAACCCTAACCTCAATACCCTGAATTTGGGTAATATAGGGGGCCTTAACAGGAGGGCTTTGGGGGAAAGGGTTTAGGGTCTAGGGGAAAGATAATTAGAACAGGGTTTTGGGGTAAAGAAAACATATATAAAGGAACTCCCCCCAAATAGTATAGGTAATTATGAAGGCCCCAAAATAACTGCACCCATACGGTGACAGTCCATACATAGGGCTACTGCTACGGGCCTTCTAGATCTTTCATAGGCCCCTATGCTAGTTCATGCAAGTCCAGTATTGTTCGGAAGTTGAGGTTCTAGCACGACTCTGCAAACCTTGAACCCTAAACCGCACACCCCAAACCTTTAATTCAGGCGCCAAAGCCTTCCCTGCAGGGATGGATTTCGAAGGCCCTGGAATGAGTAGGCTCTACCTGCGGCTCGAACTGCCACCTCTGACTCGGGCCCTGGCCCATTATTTGCGAGGTTTGGGGATACGGATAAACCCCAACCCTAAATCCTCTGAGAATGCGGTCTGTTGTCTCTACGCGCTGAAACCAGTAACTGAGGGGGTCGGAACCTACTATTTTGTACGGTGTGGGGCGACAGCCACGCGCCTCCTTAAATCGCCAACCCCATGATCTGAACCCTAAAACCATAAACCCCTAAACCCTAACTTCCCGGAGCCCGCGGATCTTTTTCTTTGGTGTGGCTGAGGAGGCGTGCCCGCGGAAAAGCCGCATTCGCGGCGAAGCAAGCCCTCCACCCTCGCCCCATGCAGGGAAAAGCAGAAACTTGCCTTCGGCAACCAAAGAGGTTCAGAATACTGTTGATGATATAAATCCTGCATTGCCTTAAGGACCCCAAACTATGGGAATTATGGTATCTTCCTTATTCTGGGTAATGCAGGATCTATATCATCAACCGTAGTAATGAGGGTTTGGGGTTTGGGGCGTGCCATCAGCAGCAGAACTGTTGATGGTACTCACCTCTCAACTGTAGGGCCTGGAGTAAACAAACGGTTTCGAGTGCTCAGCCATAGCCCTTGGAAATTCAAACCACCGATGCCAGGAGGCATCACATGTTTGGGGGGTCTGTGGGTTTTTGAGAACTGGCTCCAGTATCCTTGAACCTCCAAGAAGTCTGCGCCAGGAAACAGGCCTGATCAGTTGTCAGAGCCCCTTCCTGTGAAAGTGGGCGACGATCGGAGAGCTGAGGCTCTGTATGCACAGCAGTTGAATCTGACCAAGATGTTGCCGTAAGCTGAGACAAATGCAAATGCAGATTTATTCCAGGCGCCTTGCGCAGTAAACATCCTGGCCTTCCAACTCCAAAAGCTCTTAAACGAGGACGTGTCTTACCGGTCTTACCCATAACCCTCAGCTTTACCTACAGTGGCCCGCAACAGCTTGCAGGATTGTTTCTAGTGTATTACAAGGTATATAGTCTCAAACAAGGACACGTCGGCGCTTCATCGGGGCCTGCTCCAAAGCGAGCTGGCTTCGACACGACACGCCATCTACGATGCCAGGATTGTTTGAAGCCAGCGCGCTCACCTGGGGCACAGACGTGGACCCTGAATAGCAAGCCCCTCAGAATCACGGAGACTTGTAGATCTGAAACTCGAGTTCTGACGACCAGAAACGCAACATTCCCTTTAGAAGCTTTCAACAGGCCTTCTGGCGGCGAGCTCGTTGGGGATTTTTATGGCATTGAAACCCGCCTAAACCCCAAACCCTACACCCCAGGTTCAGCTTTGGGCAAGGGATTTTCTGGCCCATGCGCAAGCCCTGAAAGCGCCAAACCCTATTCCTAAACCCCGGCTCCTAATCCCTACATCCCACACCCTGAACCCAAACCCCAACCCTGAACCCTAAACTACCTCTGATCCACATTAGGCCGATTGATATATAGGAGATTCCTCAGAGTGCATATGATATGGGCAGTTCTCTAAGTTACCGTCCCTTTGGGGGTTCTGTTTATAAGTTATAAGGGTGCCGTACTATTTTGGGGGACCTAAAAAGGGATCCTACCTGACTACTTCAGAGAACTTCCCCATAAATTTCAAGGATTGCGGTTTAGGGTTTAGGGTTTAGGCAAAGCCCCTATGCTAAATGCTAAAACCCGGTGAACTCCTCAGAGTAATCCCTACAGGAACCTGTTACCCCAAAATCCTAGACTAGGCCTGCGTCGGCTGATGCCCGCCGTGCTCCTTGATGCTAGCCAAGTCCCAGGTCACAAGGGATCCATCCTGAGAAAGACAGAGAGGCTTCGGCCACTGCCCAATATGGGAGGTCCCGAAAATAGGGGGGGGTACCTAATTTTGGAGTCCTCATACTAAGGATCCTACTATTTAGGGTACCGTTTTAATCCATCCTGAGAAAGACAGAGACCCAGAGACTCCAAAACCCCTTAGTTAAGGAATGTACCTTGAAATCTTATTAGGGTTCCTCTTATAATTTAAGGTATATTCCTTAATTAAGGGGTTTTTGGAGTCTCTGGAGAAGTTTTATGAGGCTTCAACCACTGCTGCGCTTAGCATCAAAATAGCCCACGCTTAGCATCAAAATAGCCCAAAAGCCTTATCTAATAAGGTCTTGGGGCCCAATAGCCTTCAAATCTGAGTCCTTTGAGGGTAAGGGCTAGGGATTTAAAAGGTTCTACAAGTTCTACAAGGAATCTATAAGGTCTATCTTGGTTCCATCAGGGTTCTACAAAGCTTTGATAAGGGTTCTATAAAGGTTTTGTGACACCGTTGAGACCATACCCTGAGGGTTCAATCGACCCCACAACTAGGCACGTGGGTTTCGGATAGTAGCAATGTAGGTAACTCTTTGGGGAGGTTTCTGGTTATTAAGCACGTGTTCCTTTGGGGGGGAGAGAGAGGCAAAGAGAGAGAGAGAGGGAGAAACAAAAGGGTAGAGAGGGGACAGAGCTAGAAGTTTCAGAAAGCCAAATACCTTAGTATGGACACTAAAAGAGGACCCTTCGTAGATAGCAACCTCACAAAAGGGCATCTATCAAATTCATGTACAGTAAACCTCAAATGTCGTTTCTGGAAAACTAGGGTTTAGTGTTTGTTGAAGGTTTAGGGTTCAGGGTTGCTGGTCTAGGGTCTAGGTTTAGGATATAGGGTTTAAGGTCGAGGGTATCTTGGACCCTACCTTGCCTGAAGAATCTTCAAGCCCTACTTTACATCGGGTTACTTTCGAGAAGGATCCTACTACTGGTTGAGGGGTTCTTACATTTGTGGCCCCTATCTTCTGCCACAAACCTCCTAAACCTAAACCCTAAACACCTAAACACCTAAACACTAAACCCTGTCTTACTGCAACCTTAAACCCCTCGACTCCCAAGCACTGAAAATCTCTGCTCCAACAATCTTGCCCCACACCCCTGAACAATCTCCACCCTGGATCCTGCTCCCCAACACGGGGTGCAGGGTTCAGGGTCAGGGGTTTAGGGTTTAGGGTTTTTATACCTGCGAATCCAAAAACCTATCGTTTTAAGGGTTCTACCCTCTAATTAAGGGTTTAGGGTTTAGGGTTTGGGGTCACAGGTAGGGTCTAAACTCAGTCTAAATCCTAAACGGCCCAGGCATCTTCCATGATGGCCGCGAAGGCCTCCGACGACGAAAGGATCTGCCGCACGCCGCCCAGCTCAGCCAAAGCGGCGTCGCTCTCAAGGTTCCTTATACGCTGCAGGGTTTCCTAGACCCTCCTAAACCCCTAAACCCTAAACCCCTAAACCCTAAAACCTAAACCCCCCCAACTACTCTATAATATACCCTGTACTAAACACCTACTATTGAGGAAATGAGGACCATAAGGGCTCTAAGAGCCCTTATGATCCTCATTTCCTCAACAGTAGGTATTTAGTACAGGGTATATTAGGGGGTACTTACGGGGGTCCGGGTTGTGTGCGTAGGATTTAGGGTTGAAGGCTTTTACGTTTTGGGGCTAAGCAGGGGCTTCAGAGATTAGAACTAACTTAGGGTGGAGTTGAGTAAATAGGGGTTCAGGGTTTAGGGTATCGGTACCTAGTAGCTGGTTCGCTGAAAGCGCGTGCTGTTGCAATAACATAATTGTGTCCTGCATCGGTATTCCAGCCTGCCTATTCGCAATAAGACCCACCAGTACAAGTTGGGATACTCAGGGCTACTCAGTTTCAGCCATTGCGCTTTCACGGTCGGAATCGTCACTTCGGGATTGTTCCTATAGGTCCTATAGTTTGTTAAAAAAATTTAGGGTTTGGGGTTTAGGCCTTGGGATGTTTTTGGAGGCCCTTCCAAAATCATGCATTTTTGTTCCTGCTTGAGAATGTACGGCACTAAGGTTGCAAATCTTGTCCAAAAACGGCCAGGTTAAATGCTTAAGTCTAGTAACCCTTGACCCTTGCCCTGAACAAAGTGTAATCCCAACCCTAAACACCCTAAACCATTGACCATGAATCCTAAGCAAACTATAAGCTTATAACCCTAAACCCTAAGTCGGGGTCTGGAGTACTTTGGACGATGGGCTTCCGAGGAGAAGTAAGGGTTAGCCGTTAATCTTTGGGGGTATGTAGGATATAGTACCAACCAAAGCTAACTTTAGGGTTTAGGGTTTAGGACGTTAAAGCTTCTGTGGATAGTTAGGTTCTTGCAGTTCAGTTCTCTCCGCAACTCAACTGACGGCTATTCGAACAAGAAGGACTGTGTCGGATATACTCTTTGAAACAGAGATTACTAGAAGGTACTAGAAGACGGTACCATGAGCCAGAAGAGCACCAAGCTTCATCACTGGTAGAAAAACTGCGTGAAGAAGACTGGAGAGAAAACTATCAATCTGGGGGCCTTGATTGGGCCTTGATATTTAGAATTCGAATAGCGCTTGTGGACATGTTCGCCTAAAGCACAGTATTGGTAGTTCTTCAAGCTTCTAAAAATGCAGTATAGTGCTATAAATACTCAACAGTCGCCTAGGCTCTTCCATGTAACAATGGGGCCATCAACGAGGATCCAAGCACTCGATGGCAGAGATACGGCTTCGACCAGATTGGTGCTGGTGAACCGCTTTGGGGAGCTGTCCTTACGTGTCCCGTCTTTTTAGCGGATTTAAAGGTCAACATTTTGGACTAACAGGAGTTGCCCCAAAAATCTTAAAGGCTTAAAGGTTGTCTACTCTGCTGCTAGGTGTCTGTGGGCCGTTTCGATTCCAGAGACTCTCCCCAAGTCACCAGGGATCCGTCGGCAAGGTTAGCAAGAAAAGCACGATCCGTAGCATCTATCTGCAAGACCTTCTGAAGCGGTCGCTGCACTGTCTGGCAGAGGCCCCCGTAGAGTCTGCTACCCCATGTTGCGACGGAGCCATCAGCAAGGATGGCAGCAAAGGCGCTGTCCGTGGCTCGGATATCTTGCACATTCCGAAGCTTCTCCTTTATGGCACTGCTGTCACCGCCATCATCGGCGCGGCCCCAAGTCAAGACCGAGCCATCTGCAAGGATAGCAGCGAAGGCGCCGTGGGATGACCGAAGTTTCTTCACATCGCGCAGCTGATCCCTGACGGAACTGTTGTCCCCACCGTGACGGGAGGAGCCCCAGGCAACCTGCGTTCTTTCGAAGGAAGCAGGGTATAGTTCTTTAAATTAGGGTCCCTTTTTTAAAAAAATAGGTCCCCGATAGAGTACGGCAAGCTGATAAAAACGACCCTAAGCAGAGAACTACCCAGGAACTATATTCAAGATACCACCTGACCATAGGCAGACCTTTGACGACAGCACTTGAGCTAAGTGGCGTTCAACCGTTGCAAATTCCTGACAAAGAACCTGATTGAATCCTTGTGAAGCTCTATCAAACCTAAGTTTCCTGAAAAGACCCAGCAACCACAGAGCCATCTCCAAGGACGGCTGCAAAAGCGCCGCCCCGAGCCGCATGGATTTCCCGAACATCTCGAAGCTTTCCTTGCACTGCTTTGCAGTCTCCTCGGCTGTTGTCAGTTTGCTTAAGGGCTCTAGAGTGTAAAATCCAGGACTCTATAGAGAAGAATTAGACGGACTGTTAAGTGATGTTTTCCTACTTTAGCGGTTGTAAAGAAGTTCGATTTGAGTTACCACAGAAAGGGCAGGCAATTTGCGACTGGACGTCCTGTTTTCGGCACCCTAAACCCTCACCCCGACTGCGAGGGCACCTTCAAATAAATTCCTGACCAAGAACCCCTGGAGTTATAAAGTATCCAAGAAAGTAACTTAAAGTAAGTCCTTTTGAATAAATAATTAACCTACACTATACAAAAATCCTTATAAAGCCCTCATCCAGCAAAACCCAATCCGTAGTGAACCTTAGTACCTTGCAAAAATTTGAACTGCCGCAGGGACAAATGCAGCCAAAGACTAAAGACATATTCCAAATGCCACTAGATCTGACTCAATGTCCTTAACAACCATCCCAGTCTCCGCCATCGTAGCCGCTGCCCCAAGTTCTCACAGATCCGTCCGTCAGGACTGCCGCAAAGGCGCGGTCTGTGGCCTCTATCCTTGGTTGAGATTTAAACCCTAAGCCCTAAACCTCTAAGCAGTTCCTTTTTGGGATTACCTTATAGGATTCTAAATATAAACCATGAAAAGGAACTACTTAGGGGCCTATGGGTAAACCCTAAACCCCTAAACCCTAAACTAAGAAACAGACTCAAGGTCTGTAAATGGGCTTCCAGGGCTTCTCAGGTGTGGAGAGCTTTCGGGTCTGAAGGCCAGGTTTGATTCAGGACACCAACAGGACACAGATGAGCAGTTCTCTTAATTAGGGTCACGGTTTAGGGTTTAGGGTTTAGGGCCGTTTAGGGTCCCTTTTTGGGGTCCTTTGTATAAGGGTGCCGTACTTTTTTTGGGGACCTAAAGAAGGGAAACGCACACATATCTCAAAGCCCTAGTGGCGAACCAGAAGAAAGCCACCCTAAACCCTAATGTAGGGGACTTAAAAATTGGAATAGGGTTTTGGGGGTTCCTTATTATAATTATAGTATAATATACTCCAAAATCCCATTCTAATTATTCAGGCCCCTATATTAAAGCCCTAATCCCTAAACCCAAAGCCAGGTATCTCTTGCACGTGATGGAGGTCGTCCCTCACCCCGCTGCTGTCGCCACCGTAGTCGGAATCGCCCCAAGTCACCACCTTAAGGACGAAAAGAACCCTAAACGGGTTTTAGGTTTTCGGGTTTAGGATACGGTTCAGATGCTATATTGAAAGTCATAGCATTAAGGGTCTAGAGTCTAGGGCCCCTACTTTTAAGGCTGATGTGCTCCCCAAGGCACTGACCCGTCGTGTAGCATGGCAGCGAAAGCAAAGCCGGTAGCTTTTATCTGCCTGGGTTCTTGTTAAAGGGATTTCATTTAAGCTATCAGAATAAAGAACCCATGTTTTTTTTACTGTAGGTCCCTACTATGGTAATTTAAATCTAAACCCTAAACCCTAAACCCTGAACCCTAATCCCTAAACCCTAAACCCTGAACCCTAAACCCTAAACTCTAAACCCTGAACCCTAAACCCTATAAACCCTAAATAAACAGCACCCGGCTGCGAAACCTTGTGCAGCCGATCCTGGCTCGGCTGCCGCGCTCAACGGCCGCTTAGGGTGGCTTTTTTGGGGGCCTTTGAGTTTAGGGCTTTAGGGTTATTTGGGGTTTAGGGCTTTAGGGTTTTCGGGTTTAGGGCTTTAGGGTTTTAGGGTTTAGGGCTTTAGGGTTTTAGGATTTAAAGCTTTGGGCTTGTGGCTTTAGAGCTTTGGGTTTAGCCAAGGGCGAACGGCGCTGGGGGTTTACAAGACTTTGGGGTTTGGGGCTTCGGGCCTGTGGGACTGAGGGGTTGCGTGAGGGCTTTGGGGTTTAGCGTCTCAGGGCTTTGAGAATAAGTAACTAAAGGAAGGCTACATCGACTGAGGTATGCAGCCTCTAGAAACTGTAAGGGATGTGCTTCTACTGCGTTTTGAAGCAGTAAGTAGAGTATCCGGTTGCTGTTTAATTCTCCCCACGCCGGACAGCCTCAAAACCTCGGACATAAGCCCTACCCCCTCGAAGCGGACACCCCCAAGATACTAAACCCAAAGAGCGACCGGCTGCCACTGAGGTTTAGAGTTTAGGCGCTGGAGCCTTAAGCCCCCAACCACTGAACCCCTAAACCCTAAACCCCTAAACCCCTTAATTAGGTCCTGAACCATGAGAACCCCTCGCTCCTGGACGGAGCTGCTGTCGCCACCAGTCTCACTGCGCCCCCAAGTTACCACGGACCCATCGCCGAGGAGAGCTGCGAACCTTCAGTTTATGAGTTGAGATCTTCGGGGTTTCGGGGTTTAGGGTCTAGTAGGGCTTGGATTTAAGGTTTAGGGGTTTAGGGCTGGGGGCTTTTTGGGGTTTAGGGCTTGGGCGCTTTTTGGGTAGTTTAAGACTAAAGAGTTTGGGGTTCAGGAGTTTGGGGCTTGGGGGTTTAGGGATTAGGGTTTAAGCTTTACTGTAATGTAGCCCTAAGGATCTTAGAGCCCAGGCATCCATACAGTTGGGTACTGTGAAGTTTATAGCTCTGTACTCTCCTTTGCAAGAGCTCCGATTCCCCTAAACCCTGAACCCTAAGCCCTGAACCCTAAACCCCGAACCCTGAACCCTAAACCCTGAACACTAGACCCTAAACCCTGAACCCTAAACCCGACACCCTAAACCTTAAACCGGGGGTTTAAGTAACCTTCGGGTAGGATATGGGGGGGGGGGGGTTTTGCAGGGTCCTGAGCCCAAAGAGGGTTTAGGGTTTAGGGTCTGTAGGGTTTGAACAAGTTAACTCTGTGTTCCGCTCAGGCACGCCCCATGAGTGGCTGAGACCTGACGCACATTCAGCAGCCGATGTTGGACAGAGCTGCTGTCGCCGCCGGAGTTGGGATTGCCCCAGCTTACCAAAGACCCATCCTCTTAGGGTTCAGGGTTTAGGTTTAGGGTTTAGGGTTAGGTGGTAACCTATTTTGCGGTTGGAACCCTATAGTAAGCAGGAAAGGGGCTAACACAACCGGTACAATCCCGGGTGTATAGGTAAGTATTGGGCGTGTAGTTTACGGTTTAGGGTTTAGGCTTTAGGTCACAAGGACATTCTCAAGAGCAGTCGAGCGACACCAAGCACGGCTGCAAAGGCAGAGGCTGTAGCTGCCATGCTTGTCTCGCGCAGATGAAAGGTCAAAACATCTCCCGTCCTCAAACTTGCCTGGTCAACAGTCAAGGCCCCATGTAGGATGTCCCCAGATGCATTGAGCAGCATGCCCCTTCCGGTTTGCAGGGCCTTCTGCGCCTGAAGTTTCAGCTCCTCCATGGTCCAAGATGCCTGGAACCCAGGAGTACACAGTCCCCCATTCCCAAGCCTACAGCTCTCCGCCGAACCCTCAGGATAGGAAAAGAAAAGGAAGACATCGGACATGATAACCACCTCCAAGGGGCAGTGGCTGTGACTTGCACGGCTCTGCCACTCAGTAGCGTCACTTCGAGAATCACACAGGACATGGCGAGAAAGGGTGGGGTTCTGACTCGCTATCTAAGATGTTTTCCGACATGGTTGCATTGCAGTTGTGGCTTGAGAAACTTTAAGATTCAGGGCTCAAGGGCTCATTTATAGCAGGTGCTACCAAAACTATCGTTTAGGATGTACACGACTTTCAAGATAACCCTAGTATCTAAAGAGTTACCAATACTATTCCAGGATTCATTATAGTATCATGTACCCCAAAACCCTATTTTTTGAGGCCCCTAGATTACATCTTAAACCCCAAGATTTCAGGGTACCAGGGTCAGTGGCGAAGAGCCCAGCAGCTGCGGCTTGGAGGACTTGAGCTCTTGTGACAAGAGGTGGAGAGGGTTTTTAGGGTTCTAGATTCTAGGGTTTAGGGTTTCGGGGTGGGAGAGAGGGTTTCTTCAACTTAGGGTTCTAGGGATATAGACCCTCTCTATAAAGTTCCTTTTAAGAGAGCCAACAGTGGGGTTAAGAAAGGGGTCCCCTTTAATGGGGTCTCCCTAATACTACCTTGGACCGTCAGGTACCCCATACGGTTGATGATATAAATCCTGCATTACCCAGAATATGGGTTATACCAGAATTCCCATAGTTTAGGGTCCTTAAGGTAATGCAGGATTTATAGCATCACCAGTATCTCCCTAAAGCCGCACCTTTAACCGCAAATGCCTCACTCGAAGCCTCAACCTGGTACAATTAAAGGAAACTGCAGGTGGGGAGTTTAGGGTATATAGGGCTGCCATACGGCTTCTATTAGGTATATAGACCTTCTATAAGGCTCCTATAACGGTAGCTACCCACCTGAAAATGTCCTAGGTACAAGGCCGGCAGAAAATGCGCGTGTTTTCCTGGAGTCCCTGATACTTCTGCAGTCAGTTTCTATTCGAGACTAGCAGGATTGCAGGTTCACAGTGAAGATTCTCCCTATAAACCCTACAAACCCTATACCCTAAGCCCTACTTTCGAAAGTCTAGGCGGTTCTCGGGCGAAACGCCAAGTCCGAAACTCGAGGCCAACAACGATTTCACGACCCGGGGACCACGCAACGACAACACAGAACACCCTAGACCTATACTCTGCCTGTAGCCGAGAAGCCCTACCTTTTTAAAGGTTCCTTATCATGGCTCCTATAGATAGTCCCTCAAAAAAGGTAGGTCTTTTGGGCCGCAGGTATAAGCGAAGAACTAAACCAGATCCCGAAACCCTCAAGCCTGAGCCTTAAACCCTAAACCCTAAACCCTAAACCCCTAAGCCCTAAACCCCTAAACCCCTAATCCCCTAAGCCCCTAAGCCCCTAAACCCGAAACCCTAAACCCTTGAAACCGCTGTAGCGCTTCCAAAGCCCGCCTGGTACGTCAGATTGCTCACTGTGGCCTTGCCAGGTGGGGTTTAGGGTCTAGGCCTGATAGCTTGGGTTTAGGTTTTTTGTTGGGGTTTAGGGTTTAGGGTTTAGGATTGAGGGTTTAGGGGGTTCCGTAGCCTTGGCTCAAGGCTATTGACCTGGGTTTCTTTTTTAGAAGTGCCCTGGTCTTAGCCGCTTCCCGACCCCAGCTACTTTCTTCTGATTCTGTAGCGCCATAGCTGGTCCCTGGTGGCCTCTATCTTGAGCTCCGGTCGCTGTGCGACCGAGCTCTTCGCAATCGCAAGCCATTTTGGCTTTGCATATTGCACTGGTTGGTTATAT